AAACAACAACAACAACAACAACAACAAAAAAAAAAACCAAAAAAGTCAAAATCCACACCATCACCTGCTATCAACTTATCCCATAAGGCAGAGCTCACAGAGAAAAGGATGCTTAAAGATTTTTTTACCATAAAATTTCTTAAGAACCCACAAGGCAAATACATAAATTTCAAGTTTCAAAAATCTGAAAATAGACACCAAATTGGGGGTGGGTGGGAGATTCAAAGGCCACCAGTTGATCCCATAAGACATAAATCACAGGGGGTAGGATGGCTTAAAACCATGTTCTACTCAATGACTTCTTAAAGATACATGAAGCAAACCAAAACAGGTAGATATCTCCAAGTTATAAAAGACCCAAACAAATTAAACTGCAGAGTCACCTGCCATCAACTTATCCCATAAGGCATAGCTAACAATTATTAAGATGACTAAAAAGTACATTTTCTCCAAATAATTCTTTAAAACACAAAAGGCAAATCAAGGCAGTGAGATTTTTCTAAGTTATAAACCCCACACAACTAAATTGAGGAGTCACTGGCCATCAGTTTATTCCATACGGAATACTTCACAAATCTTGGATGGAGGAAAACAAACTTTTATTCTAAGACTTCTTTATTAAAAACACAAAATTCAATTTATAACATATAGGGTCTTTCAATGTTATACTAAAACAGCCCAAAATGGGAAAACTATATCCCATCAATGTATCCCATTAAATATAGGTCACACTGACTAACGGGCTGAAATCAACCTTCAACTCTTCCTTAACAACATACATGGCAAATTACAACAGTAACCTGAATTCGGAAAGAATCAGGAGAGAAGAAAGCCAAATGATTCCTAACAGATGAGAGCCTTTAAAACAAAACAAAAACAAATAATAATAATAATAATAATAATAATAATAATAATAATAAAAACAACCAAAGGAGCACACAGCACTCAGCCAGCCTCAGAAGCATATCCGGAAACTACTGGGCCTTACAGGGACGCAGACATTTTACAGTTGTTCCAGGATGCCATGTCTGCCCTCTGGATGCTTAAGCTAATGATAAACACAACACTCTAGAAGGTGCCCTCAACACGCCGCTACATCTTTTTCTTCCTTCCTACTAACATATTTACTATAAAATGGTAAGGTTTTACTGTCAACTAAAAAGCGGTTAAGCACCAAGGCCACTAACAGATCCCAAGCACTGGTAGCCTGGAGACATAAAAATTATTGAAGAAAAATCATCCAACCATAGAGCGTTCATCATCTGAGGCGTCAAAGTACAGATTCGCCAAACGTATCTTCTCACTCCGATGGCAAAATACTTCCGATTTACCACATTACTACACACACTCTCTCTCACACACACACCCATGACAACAAAGGTTAAAGAGGGGGCTAAGATACTCATAACTTACGTATTTTGATGGCACACCAGTCTCTAGAAAGCTGCCGGCAGGCCGCTGAGGAACCCTCTCGACGTCCGCCAGCTGGGAAACCACCTTCGATGGCCGTTGACGCCTTTTAACCGTCCGCGTGCCAGAAACCAGGTGCGCCTGATGCACTGCGTGTCGCAAAGCGCAGCACGGCAAAGTGCCTGACCGTAAAGCGATACGTGCTCACGGCTTGTGTGACTCAACAATGGCCCGCAAAATCCCTGAGTGACCAAAAGGATGTATAGACCCGGAGATTTTTCACACTGTAGACGGAGATAGGGAAGGTTTCCAGAGGAGAGGGTCTTTCTGCCTACTGAGAGGCAAGACCTCTGGCTTCGAGGGTCCGAAGTTGGACCTCTGCTCCTACACTTAACTGTAGCTGAGACAGTTGGCAGACAAGGAGCCTCTAGAGCGCTGTGGCAGACATTTTTTTTTTTTTTGTGGAGACACTGGGGCCTGGGCTAGCTAGTACAACTTCTAGCCCCAAAAGTGATTCAAAGGGCCAGCTTCCTAAGTGTGTGGCAAGCATTTTCGTTTGGTTATTAAAGCATGTTACTATTAACATACAACCATATACCCTTTTCCACCTCCTGGAATCCACTAGAGATGTCCAAGATGACTGGGCTCCGGGGATACACAGTGCTAAAACCTGAATGGGGCAGAGGGGCTGGCGTCTTAACACATTTTTTTTTTGTCGCCTGGGAACACTAGTAGTGTCATTTCCAGTCTCCAATAAGCACAGACTGCAGTATGAAACTAACATATTCCAGTGTCATAGTTGTTGGATTTAAACATCATGAATAAGTAAGTAACATAACTTACTTATTTGTGCAAGCTAAATCATAGTCGTGTTGCGTGTTGTCCAGTATAAAATGGGCTTCTCTTGGGAAGTATACACATTAGTGAGCTCAAAGCACATAGTGTATGATACAGGAGTTTTGCTATATAATAAAGTTGATGTAACATTAACTAGTGGCAATTTACCATATATATATATATCATATATTAGTGCTTTTGGATGTACAAGTATAATAAACTTTGAAACAAAGCAGTCAAGTGTTTCAAAAAAAAGTCACAAACCTTCATCTAGTATAGAAAGGAACCACAAAGTAGCTTGAGTATTGAACATATGTTGTTCTCTATTAAAAATGAAGCTAGATTAGTGTCCATTATAGATAACATGTCTTCCTGCTAATAAACCCCTTTTATATTTGGGTGCCTATAAAACACTTCCTGCTTGTGAAACCTCCCAACTATAGTTACATAACAATAAAGAAACAACGCAGCTCTTTAATTGCAGTCACGTTTATTTGCAGTCTCTATACACACTTTCTAGGGAATCAAACTGTTCTGATACATTTTTTGAGAGGGGTTCACAATGAAACTGTCACCGTTTTTCCTACAAATAAATACAAGACTTAAAGTGTTGCACAGCTCTAAAATATACAAAGGCTTGGATTGAATGTAAACGTTGAAAACATTTTACAAAAGAAACCATCTTTGCAACAATTTAAAAAGTTCATATTTACAAATGTTACAAAAATACAAAATGGATGCAAGTCCAAAAACCATTGTCTTTTCGGCCAGCACGAACTGGTTCTAGTACCAAAATAGTTACACCATAACCTTCAGAATTCAAGCTTTGTTACCTCAAGCTTTGTTACCGTCTTATCCTCTCAGCATCCACCACTAAAGAGATTGTACTCACTGGCGAGAGCAAACGGTGTATTTTGTTTGCTACTAGTCCATGTCCTCTACTGAGCCAAAACCAAAACAAGCAAAATCAAACCAGAATCACCAGAAAAGCAAGAAAGTAAAACAGAATTCCCACACACAACATAACCATGTTGGATAAACACAGAAGAAGAAAAAATTGCATCAGTGCAAACAACAGAAGAAGTTTCAATTGGTCTTGTTTGTTTTTATTTTTTAAACAATAGCTAATGTGTGTACCCTGCTTCAAGCTGACAGTGATGTTAAAGACAGCCCTACGTCTTGGTCTTGTTTAGTATATTATAAAGCTGTGAAGACTAATTTTTAAGGATTTGCTTGCTTTTAAAACTTTCTTATTCGATATTCTTGTCCACAGTGAATCTAAAATCCGTCTTTATTTGGGATTTCTTTAAATCTATGAAATACAAAATAGAGAAACTCTGATATAGATTTTTAGAGTAAACAAAATAAGTAAAACTATATTATAAGGGTGGTTCTGTGATCATCACATAGACGGTACCTTATTGCCTCACTATTCAAGTCAAATATGTATTTTAAAAATATATGATATGACTACTTAAATTAATGTCAATAATAAAAGGTGACATTTTTATTAAAGCCAATTTATGTTTTTCTATTCAAGATTTAGAATCACTTTTAAAACCCACATACCTTTCTTCACACTAAAAAACCCCCTACCTACACAAAAGCCATACTGCAAACGAACTGCTTTTATGAAAATTACAAATGATCACCTATTGTGACTGAAAACGATGGTTCCTTATCACATTTGTCTAAAAACTTTTATTTTTAAAATTTTGTGGAATGTACTTTCAAAGCATGAGACAGATTTGTTCATGACCCCACACGATGTCAAACCATGCTGGTTGTGTGTGTATGTGTATGTGTGTTGCTTGTTTTTGTTTTTTTAATGAGTTACATGTTCCAATGGTAAATGATGCTCAAATTTCTTTTAATCCCCAACATTTTCTTTTAACAAAAATTTAACACTTTGTATATGTTCAAACCCTTTACCAGGTAGTTTATCTATCCCCAGCACACACTTGCGCTCTCACTCTTGCTCTCTCTCTCTCTCTCTCTCTCTCTCTCTCTCTCTCTCTCTCTCTCTCGCTCTCTCTCTCGCGCTCTCTCTCTCGCTCTCTCTCTCGCTCTCTCTCTCTCGCTCTAGCTCTCTCTCATTCTTTCTCCCAGTTCTCAGTCTCCTCCTCTACCCCTCCACCCCCAACACCTATTTTACATACAAGAATGACAAGAAATTAACTAACACAGTTTGGTAGTAAAAACAAATAATAGAAGAAGCCAGACATTTCCCCCCAAACAAACAAAACACCGACAACAGATTCTTTAATTCTTAATCTGTAAATATTATCACGAATTTCTATTGAAAGACAGTGTCTTCTTAGACCATACTTTCTCCTTCATTTATCGTGAGTTAATCCTTTCATACATCTTCCTTTCTCAAATACCACTTGCATAAGCATAAAGCCAGCTGCTTCTCACTTGCTTGGTAACCCTGGTGTGTTCTGCCATTGTCTTTCACAGATCATTTTCTCCTTAGTTCTAATTTCTACTGCTCCCATTCAAAACCTATTCTAAGTACATAGGTGCTTATATTTCTGACATATGATTTCAAACATTAGTATCAGTTCATGTTAAAATCAGAGGTGTGAGAACCACTTGCAGATTTCAACTTGTTTCTATACTTTTTTTTCAGTTTTAAGACAAGAAAATTCAAGTAATTTCAAGTAATTCAGCTTGTTTCCCTGCCTTCATTTTATCAGGGCGCTTGCCCTGACGTTTCTTTTCCCACCCACCACCCTCCCCTTTTGCCATCAAGCAGTTCTAATAAAATCAGACCAAAAAAAAAAATGCTGTATGTAGCATTGTGAACCAGAGCTGCTCCCCATGCCCAGGTGAAGAGTGAATATAAATAATGCATATACACATACTCATTTCCCAACGACATTGTTCACAGTGTCACTTCTGTTAAGTTTTAGGTAGCATGAAGCTCATCAGCACAGAGAAAAAGCTTCGCTGAAAACTCATCACAGGGCGGGTGCTTACTGAGAATTCAATAGCTCTGTGGCATGCTTAGGTTCTATCTCTGTTAGTTTAAGAACCTGGAGCTAATCAAGAAGCTTAATGAGTATAGTCATGAGAGTATGACTGTTTGTCCCCAGTAGCCTTATAGAAAACATGACCTAAAATTAACTACTGGTTTCTCTACTCATTCTTCTTAAAGCAATTCACTGGAAAAAAAATTAGACTCTAAAGGACACTGTTTAACGCTATTGGGAGGGGGGGTTCTTTGCATTGAGAAGGATGATTTCTCTCATTGGTTAAAAAGATCAAAAGCATGCTTTTCATTCTGTTCAAATTGCCACATGGCAAGACACAGCCACAAACTCAGATTAGCTTGTTTCTGCTACAATTTGTCACAACAATGATTAGGTCTGAATTCGTTATTTTAAGTTAATCACAATTCAGTACATGACCTCAATATTTCCATTATTTCACCAGTTTTAAATTCATATTTGAGGTTTATCACTCAGAAATCATGTTGGTGGACATTTAAACATGGTATTTGATATGAAAATGGTATTCACAGAATACAGGTATTATATTTTGTGTGTGTCCTATAAACAGTTGGTGTGTGGTAGATAATTGGCCACTTGTCCACTCATCATTGATAAATCTATTTACACATTTTTATCAAAAATATGGTATTTACATATGTGTAGTTCTTTCTTCTAAATCTTGCTTTAGTTCATTTTAATGTAAAAAAAATACCAAACCTCCAGAGTAATTTCATCTTCTTAAAGTATGACAGTGAGGGCTTTATTTTCACAATAGGCAGCTCTGGGAAAACCTTGTCTAGGTTTCAAGAAAGTTAGATATTTTTGTATTCTTTATTATCACAACGAATGAGATCGGGTAAATCAAACTATGCTAAAGAAAACCACGACAGACAGAACTGCTACTTAAAACATGAAAACTAATAAAAAAGAAATGACTCAATCACTTTCTGTTTTTCCAGCACATATGTAGAAGCTCATGGCCAAGCAACGATGCGATTCCCCCACCCTGTTGCCACTTCTCCCAGTTAGTTCCTCTACGATATCACACAATTCATTCAACAATAAGGGGCTGTACATCTGAGGTCTGCTTGGCTCAGGCAAACTATGTGGAACTCTGGGAGGATCGGTCATCATGTGGGCTCCCGTCAGAGTTTTCAGTCTCTCCCTCGGAGATGGCCTGCATTGGCGTACTGTACAGCCTGCAGCGGACACTGTAGCGGCTGCTGCTGGCCACAGGTGGGACCCGGGAACGTCCAACCCGGGATGATGCTGAGGTGGCAAAGGTTTTCGAGGAAAACCCTTCTGCATTGACTCGTGGAGAGCACGGGGACAGAGGGGACAGCGCTTCAGCCCCGGGTGTGCCCTGGTGGGTATCATCAGGGCTCTGTGAGGACTCTGAAGTGAACTCTCCAGGAGGCTTGGGCAGGATGGGGCTCTTCAGGATTTCGGTGGCAGACATGCGGTAACTAGAATCAGAGCGACTGCCTTTCTTGAGAAGCAGTAGCTTAAATTCTTCGTTGGATGTGTTGGATTTTTTGGCATTTCGGTAGATGAGACCAGGAGACCTCTGGCTAGTCCCAGATGTCACATTGCTGCCGGTTGAAGCGACAGAACTGGCACTGCTGCTACTGCTGCCAAGGGGAACCCTGGATTTGCTTCTAATAGACATGTCCCCAGAATCTTTCCTTCCAAGGACTTTCCTCTTGGATCTTTTAAGAAAAGAGAAAATGGGGTAAAAATCTGAGTCCACATACAATTTATGAATTAATAAGTTTGCCATCTGATTCCCATATCTATTATATTTAAAGAGCACCCTATATAGTAGGATACTAAGCATTAGCACCATACAGAGGAAGCTTAAGATTCATTACTTGCCCCCCTAGAGTTTAAGGAGGGGGGGGGGAACTGCCAACTTCTATTTACAATGTGGGGCAAGACTGTTGCTTTTTCTCATTCAATCTGTTTGTAAAATACAGAGAAATATTCTCACGTCAACAATAAGCTTCCAAATAATACTAAGTACAGCAATTAGAAAATGGCATCGTTGGGACACGACTGGCCTTAGCTTGATACCTGATGGGCCTCAATGATGCATAGTGGAGATTCGTGCTACAGACTAACCTACATTTTACAAATTAAGTCGTTTTAATTCACTGCACATGAAAAATTAGTTTAGTGACTTTTAAAATAAATCAGTTTTTGAATGCAAATGCAGTAATCCTTAGTTACTCAGGGACAGCAATAGTGTATCAAGCAGTAAGTCAACTCTTTGTGAGGAATTGAAAACTCAAACCATCTCTGCAGCTCTTAAAATATTATAAAACCTAAGCTCTCAAGATAGAGAAATAACTCTTGTCACTGGGATGGAAATAAATAGGCAAATCCTCCACAAATACAAATCTAAGTTTACCAAACTCCTTAAATCTACCTAACCTCTATTTTGATCATGGAATTATTGATCTTATTTTGGATTAAGTGCGCCCAAACTCGATGAGTCTTCAGCCTAACTTAGTCATTCCTGACTCTGGTGGCATGTGTTCTCACCAACATAAAACCTTGTGTGGTAAGGAAAACGTGAGCTTTGCCCTTCCAGATTCCAGAGGAGTGTGACAGTGCTCAGAGAACCCCTGTGGTTGATATTTTTACATATCTGTTCTTGGTGTCACCTGAAGGTAGAATTTTCATATAGCAGGTCTTATCAGCATCTATAGTATTCTAGACACAAAATGATTTTTCAACAGAATCAAATATGTGAGGTTAAGTTTAGATGCTTAACTTATTCAAGGCAGCATAGGAAGCAGCATTGTCAGGATTCTGATTCAATATCTTTCTAATTCTACAAATGTGTATTCTGCCCACTCTTCCAGACACATCACATGGTTCTTTGAGGGCTCATTAACTTACATAGCAAATTAATAATTTGTTCTGGGTTTGAAGATACATTGTGAGGGTTAGAGGAATATGATTGGCGTTTAGAGAACAACTGTAGTTGAAGAACATAAACTGGCGATTCTTACCCTGTTTGTGAGGAAGCTTGACTGCTTACAGTATACACAGAGGCTGCTACTAATGGAACTCTTAGGAAAATGCAGTTGCGAAAGAGCAGTGCTCCTTCTTTGAGAAAAATAAAACCAAATGAAATAGCACTACCAGAAAAGAGAACCCTTTTCAAAAGCAGAAGCTCGAGGGGCGGGAAGAGAGATTAAAAACTGCTTGCGACAGCTTGAATTTTGCAAGAAAATGGATGGAGCTGGAAAACATTATTTTGAGTGAGGTAACCCAGACCCAGAAAGATAATTATCACATGTACTCACTCATAAGGGGTTTTTAAACATAAAGCAAAGAAAACCAGGCCACAAATCACAATCCCAGAGAACTTAGACAACAATGAGGACCCTAAGAGAGATATACATAGATCTAATCTACATGGGAAGTAGAAAAAGACATGATCTCCTGAGTAAATTGGGAGTATAGGGACCTTGGGAGAGGATTGAAGGGGAGGGGAGAGGCAGGGAGGGGAGCAGAGAGAAAAATGTAGAGCTCAGTAAAAATCAATAACGATAATAAAAAGCCCTGCTTGAGAAGAGTTTATTTCCCAAATGGTGAGTCTGTGAAAAGGGAAAGATAAACCCTGGCTTCTATCCTTTGGGAATTGCGTCTCGGTCCCCAAGGCCAGGTGGAAGAAAGGACTCATGTTAGTGGAAAGAGCACATTTAGCATCATTTGGTTCAGTGGCTAAGAGTTGGCTTTCAAGGATGAGTTCTGGCTCTGTTTCTCTGGTCAGCAGCTGGAATGGATTGTTACAAATATGGGCCACTGATTATAATGATTATATGGGCCACAGGTTAGAAAGGTACAAAAGAGAAAGTGTGCCTGGGCCAGCAAAAGCACAACCCTGTTCTGGGAAAGCAACCCAGAGAGCATCCGCTATTCATGGGCTATGGCCTTTCATTTTGGAGATAAAAGTCAGCACCATGAAAGAAATTCAATTTTTAAAGAGAAAGAATAGAAGAGAGCAGTTTTCAGTTGTTCCGAGCTGAGATGGGCTCAGATGGTTCTGGTAAATCAACATATGTTTGTATCAGCTAGTGTGAGGTTACGGCTTTGAGCATATTTTATAGACGTGAGGGATTACTTAAAAGCCAGGGCTAAAGAGTGTAACTCCGTGGTAGGGTGCTTTCCTAGCATGTCCTGAGTTTGATTTCTAGTACTGCATAGGTAAATAAGTACAAAATGTAATATGTACAACAGAGGTTATTCTTGAATTTGGGTTTTCACTCCAAGTCATTTAATAATAAATTGTTTTCACAGGTAAATTTGTTTCAGAATATCTTTCCTGGGGGGATCACCCAGTATTTCCCCTTTGGTGATTCTTACTGGGCTCTCTTAATTGAACTTTATATATCTGTCCATCTAGCTATAGCTATCTATCTAGACTCATATTTTCAAACATGCATACAATTCTATGAATTTTATTTGGAAAGATACTTCTTCCTTGGTTGCTTTTGTTTTGTTGTGTGTATTATGGATACAAAATGCTTCCCCATATTTTCATTCAAGAAGAGACACTTCAAGAAGCAAATTCTTTTCTGTGCCTTTTGTTTCTAGGAAATTGGCCCAACTCTCTCACCTGTGAATGACAGCGAATAGATCCTCAGTTGTTCGAGGTTTGTTTGGAGACACAAACACACCCTCAGCTTCAGCTTGAGAGTCCTCACTGAGCGGTGAAGTGATGGAGTCATCACTCGGTGATGATTCTTCAAACAAGAACAGAAACATCTTTAGGAGGGAGCTATACATCTCACCTCCCTGTTTCCCTGATGCCAGGACCAACCAGATAGAAGGAACCTTACCACCATCTTTAAAATGAGAGAGAGATCTGTCAAATATCAGTTCCTAAATAACAATAGGTTTCTTCTAAATTGTTTTAATAAATGAAAAAAAAATGGCAGAGGTAAACCGACACTCAGGGCTAGAGAGAACTACAGGGAATGCAGGAACCACCATAGGACACATTTCCACCCTAACAAAGGTATCATTAACTGACCTTTCAATGAAGTCTCATCCATACTTCCTTGGGTCTCCTCTGCTCTGCTGTTGTCAGAGGCACTTTTGGCTGAAATACCTGAAGCAATATTTTCCTGCTCAGAACATTTTTCAGGGAATGAATTTATAGTTGACATCTCTGACTCATGGCGGATGGTCACAGGCACTTTGTTGTGGTGACGGCTCACAGCTCGTTGATGCTTATGGTGACTGCTCATGTCTGTTACTCTAGTTGATGAGTTGGCTTGAAGTGTGATTCCATCCACAGATTCCAGTTTCACACCTTCTTCCCCAACTCCAGAGGGTGCCTTCGGTCCTTGTTGTGGGACTCCATCTGGGCTAGCTCCATACTGCATCATTTTACTGCCCAAATCAATGGGGCGGGCAGCAGACACCCTCTGAAACCCTGTTGAATAGCCACAGTTTTTACTTGCTATCTTTTCTGGAATAAGCTCACTTTCCATCTGTATTTGGTCTTTCATCACACTTGAATCGGGAGGATTGCTACCAGCTGAGGTTACAGTTTCTGGATCGCAGTGAGTCTTCACATCAAAAGTAGGGTTCTTTTCCAGATGCTTCTCTGGCCCCATTTCAACTGCAGAGGCATCTAAAAAGGACAGGAGGGTGTCTTCAGTGGAGTATTGGCGTGATACTGATTTCCTTGCTGGGTGTGGCCTTGTTTTACCTGGAGATACAGAAGCCGCAGAAGCTACTGTTGCAGTACTCTCTTCTAAGCCGGGGAGATCTGTATTATTGCCCTCCTTTTGTTTAACTTCCTCAGACTTACCGATAGACCGAAGGTTGACAGATTTCAGGACCGTTGGTGTGATTGCAAGAGACGGCGGAGGGTTTGACCTCAGCATATCTCCAACTGTGTTCTGTTTATGAGTAAAAACATGCAGCGGGTGGCGGTGGTGGAATGGTTTGTTCAAAACATTATGAAGAGCACTTAGGTCAAGATGGGTAGGAGGTATAATCGGAAGTTCCAAATCTTTATTCAATGACAGGGCTCCATCTTTCAAAGACGGTTGCTGTAGTGAGGATTTCCTTTCTGGGACTTTAGGTTTTCTTTTGCTACCTCCAGGAGACAATGGACCTGAAAAGAAAGCTGTTGGGAAAGAGGAGGTTGGTGTTTCTGACTGGCTTGAGTAGCCACTTGATGGAGATGCCAAGCCAGCCAGCTTTTCTGGTGAAGCCAGTTTAAATTCATTATCGACAGAAGGAAGAGATGGGGTGGTGGCCCTTGATTCTGACTGGGATGTTTGGGATTCAGAACTCTCCGGAGATTTGATGCATTCGATAACTGTGGTACCCGTAGCAGTGCTTGAATTAGATAAGGATCTGTAAGGATCATTTGTTTTCAAGTCATTTAGAAGCCAGAGGTCTGCATAGTGAGTTGATTCAGCAGCCCCTTCATCTTTGAAAGGTGAAATGTCTGTAGCATCCAGCTGAGGTTCCTTAACAGCGTGTTCACTCTGGTTTATCCAAGGAGAGTCCTGCTTTGCAGGCAGATTGGCATTTTCCACTCGAGAAGGCGTGTTGGAGAAATCAAGAGGCAGCTTCATTTCCCTGGAACTGTGAGGCAGATGCTGACCACTGCTTATCTTTGGTTCTTTCTTCTCAGAAATCTCTGTGTTTTCATCAGACTTTCTCAACGATGAGCTACGCTTAGGTGGAGTCGGCTTTGCCTTTGGTTTCCTGAAAGAAATGCTTGGTCTCCCCTGCCTCCTGTGGTCTAAGTAGTCTTGCCAGGCAGAGTCCGGAAGACCAGGAGGAACTCCTACACCCTGACCATTCTCTGGGCCCAGGCCTGCATAGTGACAGACATAGCTCTTATTACCTTTGAGACCACAGTCAAAGTGCATCGAGGTATAGTATCCTTCTGTATCCACTGAGAAATGAGAGCTAGTATCTGCTTTGTCTGAAGGAGACTTTTCCAGAAAGCTGTCATAGGTGCCCATGCTTGTGAAACTTGGGCAGCCCAGGCTATCTGCCTTTGGACGCTCAGGACTAAAATCTTGGCGGCAGGATGCGTCATGATGGTGGAGATAATTCCACTCACTGTCGCTTGCATTGCTGTTGTTGGGGTCATCCAGCAGATCTGCAACAGTGGAAGTGAAGGAGTTTGTCCGGTGGCCTCTTACTTTATCCAAGTGGTCATTGTACTGTTCTGTCACGAAGACACTGGTGTCTTCATTAGCATTCGGAGCAATGTTCAGTGACAATTCCGAGTCACAGTGCGAAGAGCCAGTGAGGGGAGGAGAAGCTGCAGGAGGGATTGTCTCTGAGGTCTGGGAGGGGCACGTGGAGCTGCTCCCACTCCAATTACCACTGGAGGACTGGTGGTCATCCTTCTGGTCCATGTGGCTGCTGAGGAGGACACTAGCTGTGGAAATGCAATGGATGGGGCTTCCAAAGGTGTCTGAGTTGGAGGAGATGTCACAGCTTCCAGAGTCAGCCGCCATTCGGGACAGACGAGACCTCCCCCTCTCACTTAACTTGTGCTGGGGGCTGTGATGATGCTGAGAGCAGGCCAGGCCCAAAGCAGGCTGGCGTTCCTGTGCACTTGGGCTGCTTGGAGCTTCACTACGATCATTAGGGGCTCTTTCATGGTCACCCACAAAAGGCTTTACTTCTTCATATGCTGAGGGTTTAGCACCAACTTTGGGTTCAGCATCTCCACCTCTATTTCCCTCCCGAGGAAGGCTCCGAGATCTCGTGCGGCTGCTCACTACAGGAGTAAACATGGTTTCGCCTTTGTCTGCCAGGGCAGAGATGTTGCCAGCAGAATGAGAAAGGGAAGCTGCAATGCTTTGACCCCTTTGAGCTCTGATTCTCCTTCTGGATGGGGCAGCAATCAGAATATCTTCAGTTTGGCATTCAGAGTCCCTGGTTCCGGACCTCCTATTGACAGTGTTGGAGGGGTCTGGGTTTGTGTGCACAATCACATTCCTTTCCCTGGCCACGGGTGATTCATCAGAATCTAGGGCACATGGAAAACACTATAAGATATTACGGATCGGCAGATTAACAGGCATTCTAAGGGTTGTTTATAAATCTCTGAGCTACCGTATTAAAACTTTTTCCTACAGAAAAGATTAGTATCTAAAATTAGGAGAAACTTTGAATGCTTTCTGTACCTCATTTGTCTCTGTTTCTATCTACATGCCTATTTGTATCTGTGCACACACACGCATCGTGTACACTTATTGAGAGAAGATATGCTTTTTGTTTTTAATGAATCATCTCTCTTTGTATTAATTTGCTCAAACAAGTGACTGCTTTCATAAAAGAAACATGATTTCAAAATTCAAAAGCCAAAAACAACTGAAATACAAAATCTAAAGCCCTGGCCACTACTTTTCACTGGTGTTTTGAAATACAAACATAATGGAATAAAATTCATAGACTTCATTAAAAAAATCAAAGTCTTATTTTCATGGAGTTGCTATCATAATATTTTGAAATTAGTATAAATATTATAAAATACATTGAACAGAAAAATTAAATATCCCAAAAGATATATTTTTAAGATTCCATATTTGAATATGTTTAAAATTTACTTGAAAAATAATTAATAGCACAAAAGTACATTTTTCTTCATGTGAAGTTAGAGTTTTCAAAAATACTGCATAGAATATTTATTCATATTCCCATTGCAATGAAACATTTGAAATGACAAGATATATTTCACCAGGAATGCTTGAATCTCTAAGGGTAAGCCTCTATATTCGAGAATAGAGTTTTAAAAAAAATGCCAAATCGTTTTCTGAATGTAAAATAAATACACAGTAGTTTAAAATGACCACAAGTTAAAACTTTCAGTATTTCTAAGGGATCTTATAGTTGAAGGCAGTTGAAAGTGGCACCTATTTCCTCTCCTTGTCACCTTCACTAGACAGAAACCATGAACATTTTTTATGCCACACCTATTTCTTGTTGAACTCTTCTGGGAATCCCCGAGATGGTTTTCCTTCTCCTCAATTTTCGTCTCCGCTGTAGGACGGATTGTGAATGAACAAGAGAACAGCGTATACTAGCTTCTCTGTCAAAGCCAACTCCTGCAACCCACAAAAAGGTCTAGTTAGCCTTTAAAATAGCAGACAAATTTTCATTTGCTTGGAACACAGTGATGTTTATTGATTGGAAGTCAGGGAAGACTTTGGATTAAATCTGTGAACCAATATAAGAAAGTCCTTTCACCCTTATTTAAATGATGCTATAGTAAGATTTACTTCTAAATTCAGCCTCCCACAACAGTTTGCAAAGCCAAAAGAAAGATGCAAAAGAGGAAAATGAAAAGAAATATAGAGAAGAGAGAGGGACATCAGCAAAACCCTCTCACGCTGACCTGGTTATAACCTTTAGTCAGTATTATTTTCTGTTCTATTTCTGGGCTCTTTGAAACTGATACCTTTTAATAGTAGATCAGTACCCAAGATGTGAACCTAGTGCATCCTAACCCATTTCTTTGGGTCACAAAGCGTCTTTGTGAGTTTTTCTCCCTTCACCTCCTATGTTCAATCTTCTCTAAGCATACACACACACACACACACACACACACACACACACACACACACACACACTGCTGTGAGGAGGAAACACAACATCACAACAGATTAGGGTTTTCTTCTTTTTGATAATCTTCTAACTCTACTTTTGACTTGTGAATAAACTGGATGCTTTTGGTTTGGAAATAAATATAAAGAGGAGTCCCCAGTCCTGCACTTAAAATGTCTCTACCTCTGATGCCAATCAGCTATATGTCAGACTCCCCTGTCTTCAAAGCATTGTTTGTTGTTATGCATGCAGGAACCAACCATGACGATTATTAGTTCTTCTCTGTAATCACATTAAGTAGCACTATATGTGGTTCTATTAAATTAGAACAATAAAGAGGAAGGTAAGGAATTCAAACTCTGTCTGGCACAAGCATGCACTGTAGAGTTTCTAGTGCAAGCTGTGGCTAAGGAGTCTGGAACGCTGTGCTTCAGGATTTGATCACCTCATCATTTTTCCTAGCTGTTAAACCTTGGGTCAGCTGTATAGCATCACAGTGCCACCAGTTTCAAGGCCCACTTTGAACTCTATCTGCCTTGTGATGAATGATTACAATGTTATCAGAGAATTCATAAGCATGATATTTTCCTTTCTTAGTTCCAATAAAAACTTAAATCCTCCATTTGAATCATAATAATTATTGAATACATGATCTACAGACACTGTGTGTTATATGGATGTCATTAACATTGTTCTCATTGAAGCTCTTGAAATTAACATCTAATGTGAGCCTTCATCTTGAGAGTTCCTGAAATAAAACTGAAAGAAAAAAATCTTCTCACATAAACCTCAAGGTCCAAATCAGGAGCAGAAGGAGAGAGAGCACGAGCAAGGAACTCAGGACCGCAAGGGGTGCACCCACACACTGAGACAATGGGGATGTTCTACTGGGAACTCACCAAGGCCAGCTGGCCTGGGTCTGGAAAAGCCTGGGATAAAACCGGACTCTCTGAACATAGTGGACAATGAGGACTATTGAGAACTCAAGAACAATGGCAATGGGTTTCTGATCTTACTGCACGCACTGGCTTTGTGGGAGCCTAGGCAGTTTGGATGCTCAACTTACTGGACCTGGATGGAGGTGGGGGTTCCTTGGACTTCCCACAGGACAGGGAACCCTGATTGTTTTTGGGCTGAGGAGGGGGGGGGACTTAATTGGCGGAGGGGGAGGGAAATGGGAGGCTGTGGCGGGGAAGAGACAGAAATCTTTAATAAATAAATAAATTTTAAAAAAAAAGAAAAAATCTTCTCTTTTTCCTAATCACAATATGATGGCCCATAATCACAGCATTACAGTTTGAAAACAAGAGTTTACTTACAGTACCAGAAAAAAAGCAGGGGCTGCTAATAGTCAGATGTTCCCAGGCTGAAAAATTAGTTAAAGGGGTGCCAGAATGATTCAATTTGGCAGATGAACTCCTCCAAAGCATCTCATTTAGATTATAGAGGTCCGATAAGTGCAAATCTTTAGAATAATTTATCCCATAAGTTGAATAGGTCAGCAGGAAAATTAAGTCTCAGCTCACGGCACTGGCCAATGCATTAGAGTATCTCTCATTCAGGAGGGAAAATAATATCTGTCCCAGATACCGAGTCCATTTGTTCCCCCACTCTAGGTGAGAGAAATCTGTGTGGAATTAATAATAGCAATGTCTAAAATGCTTCTCAGGGGACTTGCAATCTTTAGTTATGGGGAATCAAGGTGAAATCAGTCACAGCGTGGCTATTTTAAATTTTTCATTACATAAATAAGGTAAAAGGGAACTAGAATAGGTGTTTAATAAACATTAATGGGAGATCATTTAATTGGGGGGGGAGAATGATTGAGAACAAATATAACTCTCCCTCTCTCTCTCCTTCCCTCCCTCTCTCTCTCCCTCCCTCTCTTTCTCATACACACACACACACACACACACACACACACACACACACACACAAATCACATTATTAAACCTATCAGATTTATAACTAAAATTCCAAGCTCCAGCTCCAGAATTCACTCCCTCTGCTATCAGAGTCTGAAGAAAAGTCCAGCTAGGCTTCCATCCTACCTAGACTAATATGCAAACTTTGAATGCATACAATAGCAGAAAGTGAAAAGAAGTCAAGCTTGCTGGTTTTAAACACAATTCACCCCTCATCTCTGTATCTCAATATTTTCAGATCAAAAATCCCTAAAACCAATACAGAAGTCTAAATGGTCTTTTAGCAAAGCCTACCTTTATCCAGGGAAGCATAAAAACAGATTTTTTTCTAGTTGGTCGACAGGACCTTATTTGCAGTTTTAGAAACCTGGGTTTTGCTGTTTTCTTTCTTGCGGTGGCATACATCATTATCATGTGATTAATCACTGCCAACGAGCTATTTGGTGATTTTTTTTTCAAAAAGAAACTGTCCATCATTTACATAACAAGCAGTCCAGCAGAATATATGCAAATTGGTGTTCAAACCTGACAAAAGCATACTGAATTATCTCCTGACTTGTATGTTGACGAAAGATTTCTTGCTCATAACAAAACTATATTCTTAGCTGATAGGGAAGCTAACAGCACAGGTTTTGACCACACTGAATACATGGAATATTCAGACCCAACTACCCCTAAAGGAAAGAAAGAAAACGATACCAGTAACATTGATGGGAATAATGCAAGAAGAAATCACTTGAGCATCCTGTTTCATCTTCTCCTCAGGAGTTGGGAGAGGTAGCGCTTTGTTCCAGTTGGTCTGCTTGTCCAGTGTAGAGGGGACATTGTGTATTGGGTTTTTCGGTCTCTGTCCTAACATGACATCTGTGTCTTCATCCTCTGCAGAGTGGGACTGCAAGCAAAATATATTCAGATTCACATCCCATACCTTACATGCATAAGGAATTTCATAGTTCAGTCTTTTAAAACAAGGCTAGAAATAAGCATGTAAGACAAAGGAAACAGTCATAGAAAATAGTAAACAGAACTAATAGGAAGTTTTATTTCAATAGTGAAGAGGTACAGAAGGAAAAAAATGAGCCCACAAAACATGCTTTTCAGGTGAAACGGGATAAAGAGAAGAGACAAATTAGTCAGAAATCCTGTGCCTTCAAACTGAAGAAAACTGCCTGTCTCTAATCCACTGAAAGGTAAATCTCCTTTCTGTATCTTTATGTCACTATAAATTCCCGTCAAAAATCTTGAGAGCTCTAGACCATGCTGATCAATGAAGGCAGATGAGCTGAAAGCCTATAAAATTCCTCAGAGACTACGAAGAAAACCCGGAGACAGGAGACAGTCTGGAACACACCACCTGGAGGATAAACCACCAACATAATCCAGGAGGCCATCAAAAGTCCAGGAGTTAATTGCACTGCAGAAAGACAGCTTTGGTGAATGACATTTCATAAAGTCAGTTTAACTGACATTAGATGGCTGCAGAAATGCCAAGGAAAAGATGTGCCCCAGTATCCAAGTACAGTGGAATATACAAAGTCTGTTTCTGGAGGGAAAGATGGAAGCAAGTTTCTCTTTCGGATTTGGACTGGTAGAAGAGTTCTGGTTTATTTTCTTGCAGCTTTGTTGTGCAAAACTTTTCTTCCAGCTGTGTGAGTTAGAGGCTTTGATTTCTATATGACATTTGAAAATTGTCTGTCCAAGCCCATGATAAATATTAATGCCGTCTAACTTTTCTTTCAAGCTTGGGCTCCAGGCCCAGATTATTCAAGAGGCCCCATCCCACTTTGGGTTTCGGGGTTGGCTTTCTAAACCAGAGTCGTAAAAGACCCAATTTCCACCACTGAACCCAGTTCTCTTTCTTTAAACAGTTCAGAGGGAGATGGGTAACTGTGTAAAATAACTATTTCATTTCCTCTTATTTCAGTAAGGTTTTAATAATACTCTGTCCTAAAAATCGGGATTCAAAAAACAAAACAAAACAAACCTCTCCAGTCTTCTTCACATTGGAAACTGTACTATTGGCTCAGGGTCGCATGTATTGTCAAATGAACTGTCCTCAAGGCTCCTTAAAGAGTAGGCTCCCAGAGCCCCTTATTTAAAGGAAACCCCAGCATTTACTTACCTTACCAGAGATTTCCGCAAAGCCCCCTAATACACCCAACAGTCTAAGATATCCCCCCCCTTGGGAAAATTGTGTTCACCACGAACGGTTTAGTAAAATATTGAAACCTTCTTTCTCTCTTCAGCTTTTGTGCAGATTCCCAGAGAAGTGAATAGCTCAAATAAAGTTGGAGCACAAAAGACTTTGTTTCCTAGGTAACTTTCCAAAAAAAAGTTTTGTGTATGCAGAGAGGGAAGGAGAGAGAGAGAAGGAGGGGGGAGGGAGAGGGAGGAAGGGAGAGGGAGAGAGAGAGAGAGAGAGAGAGAGAGAGAGAGAGAGAGAGAGAGAGAGAGAGAGAGAGAGAGAGAGAGAAAGGTAAAGCTGAGCACCAAGGAAAGAAAACTCCCACCACTAGAGACCTCATTTTGCTGGCAATTCCTTCCTTGAATAACAATGGACTTGAAAGGACTAGAGGATAGTGACTTGACTCCAGGTTCTGACCTGCAGCCAAAAGTGCTTTTTATTTAATAGTGACAGGGACAATTGGCTGCCAGAGGATCCTCTTGTTTTGTTCTCTCTCTCTCTCTCTCTCTCTCTCTCTCTCTCTCTCTCTCTCTCTCTCTCTCTCTCTCTCTCTCTCTCTCTCTCATTTGAGAAGCTGAACCTTCACTGATCTGATAAATACAGGGGAAACTGTATTTTCCCCAAACTACAAAATCAAGAAGCAGTGATAGAGGATACCTATGCTTAGCAGAGCTGCAAAATGCCAGTCCAAGGGGGACATTAATGGGGACAAAACCAGTGACAGGGCTGTCCTTAATTCAAGTTAGGAAAAACCGTCCTTTAAATTGACGTAAGAGAAAAATGGTTAGTTGAAAATGGGTTTGCAATAAAGGTAAAAAGAGAGAAGAAAGGGAAAGAGTCTGAAAAAGAGCAGGATAAGGCTGCAAAGCAATGTTCTCAGAACCAATACCTTTCTACTCCATGGGGTCATGTGGCAACATTCAGTAGGGGAGGGCGAGCGGGTGCTGTTAAACTATGAAGACGGAATGCAAAAGAAAAAAATTAAAAATGTACACAACAGAATGCCTTAGTTAGACCAAACCTATGATCCTAACAAATACAGTTCTGGGAGACATTCTCTCTTAAATGATTCCATTTTGACTAGGAGGACAGATTCTGGACCTAGAGTTCTTCAATTCAAATCCTGACAACCTGGTATTTCTCCTACATGATCAGGTGCAATTCTTTAACATCTGTAGCAAGATAGGTGAATAACAGCCTCTACCCTCCAGGGCTATTTTGAGGAATAAATGAGTAAATACACAGAGTATCTTTAGAATTTGGGTACTTGGCATGCTTATATGTTAGTGCCGGCATGTGTGGATGTATTTTTGCATGTGTGCAGGTAGGTGTGTGTAGGCATACATGCATGCAAGTATGTACATGTGCATGGGGGGGGATAGAGGCTGGACTCAGGTATCATCATTTCTCATGAATTACCCATTTTCTGTTTGGTTGTTGTTTGGCTGTTTTTTTTTTGTTTTGTTTTGTTTTGTTTTGTTTTTGTATGTGTGAGGGTCTTTAACTGGCCTGAAGCTTGCCAAGTAAGCTAGGCTGCTTGGCCAGCGAATCTCAGGAATCTGCTTGCTTCTACCTCCCCAGGCCTGTAATTATTCGTGTGTACCACCACACCAAGCTTTCAGATTTAGGTCTTCGTGTTTGTAAGGCAAGCATTTAACCTACTGAACCATCTCTACAGATCCATAACTTTCTCATCTTTTCTATCTAAGTCTTGCCAAGTTGGGAAAGACTAAATTTTTTTTTTCTTCCTGTAGAATGACTTTCTTTTCCCATGAATTCTTCGGGGGAACATTGTCCTCTATGTCTCATCTCCTCCATACTGCTCCAATTTGCTTCTCTCTCATTCAGAATATTTAAAGATCATTGCTTCCCAAGGACTGCCCACCTCTATCCAGGTCTCGTAAGGTGAGCATCCAAACTGCCTAGGCTCCCACAAAGCCAGTACGTGCAGTAGGATCAAAAACCCAGAAATCAAAAAAAAAAAAAAAGATCATTGCTTCCATGAGAGTTTTTGCTTCACACCCACACCCACACAGGGTTTAATGCTGGGCTGCCAGCATCTCACAATACTTAAATTGAGGAAGAGAGCCTGTCTTTCATTTTGTATTGGATGAAACAAATCATATTGCCCATCTTGCTTGGAAAATAATTTGGTAATCAGTATTCTCTCTCCAGGATCTACTAAGACACTGAAGCTCTTTTTGTTTCTTTGTTTGTTTTGAGAGAGAAAGATTCACTATCCTGTCCACGTTGGTCTCTAAACCACACTCATCCTGCCTAAGCCTTCCAGGTGCAGGACTTACAGGCTTGCCCTACCGTGCGTGCCTGAAACTCTTGACTTCACCAGGTAAGAAACCCACAGGATGATTATGGGCAAGGATAGCTAGTTATGAATGTAGCCCAAAACAAAATTTTAAACTTACCAAAAATATTGTGATTTTATTATTATTATTCTCAGTAACTTTATTTGTATATCTGTGCAAGGACTCTGTAGATAGCAATGCCATATTTCAATGTCAAAGGCTAGACAGGCCTGTGAGTCTAATCTATATCAGCTTTAGATTCAGTTATGTAGATATTATAGTACTTACCTTATAGCAAGGCTTTAGTACAATACAAATTATCATTGAACACACACATACTGTGTTTATCTAGTAGATTGTGAATTCCTGTATTTAACTTTTTCTCTCAGTCTTTCATGATACTAATTGTGACCCCTCATAAGAACTCACCAAAATATTTGCCCACTCAAATGATATCAGAGATCTGTGTGTTTTAGCAGTTATGAGAAATACAACTAAAATTAGAGTCATGTCCAAGATCTCAGGAGGGATCAAATACCATGGAAACCTCTGTCTTACTAAAGTAAACACAGAAAACCAGGCAGGAAACCACCAGAAACTTCTGGTTCCATAAGTGGATTGGTATGGGTGGATATTGAACCTGGTTATTCTGAACCCTATGCAGGTATGCACTAATTAGTAATATGCAGGTATATTACTAATTCTAATTTAAGTTTCTAAACTTTATCTGGTAAGGTTGTTCCATTAATTTTTATGTAGAGCAAATGTCATTTCCTCGTGACCACTTCGTTTTGACTAGATCTTAAGACGAATGAGTTTAAAGAGTCTAAGTCTCCTCCACTGAAAGATGTACTAGGTATCACCTGAGCTCGGATTTCACTCTGGCTCTATCCTGAGACTCAGCCATAGACAACGTATATGTCTCATCTAAGAGACTGGGATATCTAAAATAGAGGAACAGTTCATAGAAGCAAGCGAAAGGGAGCCTCAAAGTATCACGGTGATATGGGAAAGGAATTGCTTCAAAGTAATTCAAGGCTCTGGTAGCTCATGAAGAAATTTTAAAAATACATAATAAGAGACTGCTTGCTGTTCAGGAAACATGAAGGATATTAATATTGACAAATGAATTTTGTTAGTTCATCATGAATCCTCCAAGTACTCTCTCCTGCTGAGTATTTTTTTTTTTCAGGAGTGAGAGGTGAGAAGTAGATTTTATTTTTTATCTGTTTGCAAAGCCCACCTACACATTAAACAAGTAGGAGGTAAAACCTGGCAGTGACTAAGGGTGGCCTTGACTGGATCCAGGCTGTGAAGACCACTGGTTTGGGCTACCTTAATCAAACCAAGGTCTCCTTGGATTCTACTCCCCAGCAAATTCAGCTTCAGTTAAGCATCTTTCTTTTTAGTAACAGTCCTAACCTATGGCATGCAAAGGCTGACACCGGGAAACCTTGAGCTTTGGAATGGAGAGGTAGGGCTCTTTGGGTTCTCCACCTAAACCTAATTAGGCTCCCTGTAGCATTAGAGTGTCCGTGCGTGTAATATTAACTGGACTGCGAATTACACACTATTTGAGTCTTGTATCTGAAACTGTCCTATCTCCTGGAGGTTGGTCAATGGAAGTAAAATGACTCTGAGTGTTTTGAATTATATTTTATATGATGAGTGCCCAGAGAATTTTTCTCTAAATTATCTAATAAATCATATTGCAAGCCATTGCTACCTCGGGGCATCTCTATTTGGACGAGAATGCCATTCCTTAATAGGTACTGATGGATAAGTTGAAGAAAAGCTGAGAATTGATCAAATTTGTATAAACCAAATTATTCTTTAATGGCTTTATGGAAATGTATCACATTGCTCATTCAGAGATATACTAGCCATTACTTATTCATAGCTGCATTACCACTGACTCGGTAATGTTTTATAAATATTTGTTGTGTTGCTAGCACCTTAGTGTGCCCGATATTAAGAAACAAGCTTCCTCTTAAAGAAATAAAATTCCTCTTAAAGACATGACATCAAATTATTTCCACCTACACATCCTTTTTCAGCATAGCTCTTAGTACAAAGTTAAAAATGACATAGCATAGGGGAGAATAAGACAGCATGAGAAAGATGCCTGTAAAACAACAGGTAATGAAAGAATACCCATTGGGACCCCTGCTTTTGGAAGAATCACTCAGTGCGGAAGTGGCAGTGAACAACACTTGCTTCTTTAAAATAACTGTGTGGGAAGAGTATTAGGAGACCACCATTTCATTCACTTAAGAGCATTTTTCAGATGAAGGCAAAAATCAGTTCCAGTGTAAACAAACTGTCAGACTCAAAATAAAAATAGTTTATTTCTCATGTACAGTGTGCTCGCTGTATAATTCTTTTAACTTGTCTATACTATTGATGTTTTCATAAAGCATGCTGGAGAAAAATGAAAAATCCATTTCCCTTTCCTTTCCTAGGCTTTCATTTTGCCCCTCCCACCATTGATTTTGAGAGGCTTCAGACTAAATTACTACATTGTTGAATAAGCCAGGATCAATCATGTCTATCTTGTTCCTAACAATAGATTCTTCTTTGATGCCTCACCTCCATTTTGTTCTCTGTGGGTGCCATTGTATTTTCAAGCCGTTTCCCCTAGCTTTTCATAAGATTGCCTCAACCAAACCCAGAGTTATACTTATGAACAGTGCTCAGAACAAGAAATAACAAATATTATACTCAAAAGTAGTCAAGGAAATTTCTCTAGTGAACACTGAAAGAATATTTTCAAAACCTTATCTTTTTTTGTGTGGTATATGTCAGAGAGAAAAGTTCATGCCTTGACTTTTGTGGCTGAGAGCAAGTATTTCTCCAAAGACTTCGAGATTTCCCCAATCTGTCTCTTAATGGCAGCAGGAGAAGAAAAAAAAAACCCTCTACTCCACATTTTATTTTCTGTTGGGTTTTATTTCATATGCTGATAGGGGATTATTTTGCTTCAAAACTTGCCAAAAGCCATCTGTTAAGATGTTGTGGGTATTCCAGCAGGAAATGTTTTGAAAAATTGGCTTTGGTTTGTGATCTAACTGATACCACATGGCATCCATAGCTGTCGAGTTTCAGAGCTGATTTACAGCCATCGTGCTATCTTAAACCTGAGATGTATTTACTGGAGATGAGGTATTGCTATATATTTGAACACAGGAGTAAAATCTTAGAGTGAAGACATCCTTTACAGTCCATACCAGAGTTCTAGGGAGCTGACCTGGACTTTTAATATCACTCTACCGCAGGTCTTGATTGTCCTTAGACCGGTCTGTGCATTGATGTACATACTGTGGCCCATCTGGAAGATGGAGAAGGCCCATCTGCCTCAGATTTTTCTGTGTAGGAGTGGTGTGTGTGTGTGTGTGTGTGTGTGTGTGAATGTATTGTACATAAACATGAGCCACTTTGATCATTCTCTGAGGCTTAAAGAAGTTTGGCGATGCCTTCTTTACATGTTACGAGCACAGTCTGTCCCTTGAGACTACCCCAGAGTCTTCCACTGGCTGGTAATGTGATCATCTTTCCAAACATGTTTAATAATATTATTTTTAATACTCATCCTGGGCTTCTTTCTCCCCATGTCTTCAACTCCTACAATCACAAAGCTGAATAAGCAATGGAAAGCAAAATAATGAATGAGGAAGAGGCTTAGGGGGCATCCTCTGCTTTTGTAGGGCTGAGCCCCACCCCAACCTTCAGTTTCCTCAAATGCATAACCACCACCTAACGTGCCACCCTGAACCCCAAAAGTCCAGACTCATTAGTCCATACTCCTAGCCAGCTCTGAGATCCAAAGCAAACCATACCAGCAAATACACACTTAGTAAGGTGTTAAAAACTCCCTGTGAGAACATGAGCAAAGAAGTCGGGACCACGAGGGGTGCACCCACTCACTGAGACAGTGGAGCTGATCTATTGGGAGCTCACCAAGGCCAGCGGGACTGTGACTGAAAAAGCATGGGATAAAACTGGACTCTCTGAGCATGGCGAACAATGAGGGCTGATGAGAAGCCAAGGACAATGGCACAGGGTTTTGAACCTACGTAATGTGCTGGGTTTGTGGGAGCCTAGCCAGTTTGGATGTTCACCTTCCTAGGAATGGACAGAGAGGGGAGGACCTAGGACTTACCACAGGGCAGGGAACCCTGACTGCTCTTTGGACTGGAGAAGGAGGGGGAGAGGAGTGGGGGGAGGGGGAGAAGGGTGGGAGGAGGGGGAGAAGGGTGGGAGGAGGGGGAGAAGGGTGGGAGGAGGGGGAGAAGGGTGGGAGGAGGGGGAGAAGGGTGGGAGGAGGGGGAGAAGGGTGGGAGGAGGGGGAGAAGGGTGGGAGGAGGGGGAGGGAAATGGGAGGCTGGGAGGAGGTGGAAACTTGTTTTTTTTTTTCTCCTTTTCTCAATAAAAAAAAATGAAAAAAAAAAAAACTCCCTGTGAAAAATCCAAGTGAATGTCATTGAAGCAGAATTTGGTACACAATTTTTGTAGGTCAGGAAGGGAGATCTTTGGAGACAGAATCTCACCAACTTATTCTTTAGCTACTTTGTGCATTCATATTCATATTTGGAAAAAGAAAACATACAAGATAAACAAGTGTTTACATTCACAGGGCAATTCGAATGTAAACCACAAGTCACTATGTATAATAAAGGGATTGAACTCAAAAGGAGTGGTAACATCTAGTGTTGGCAAAGATGGGAAGCAACTGGAATGCTTCTAAATTGAAGAGAGTTATTTAACATGGTACAAACCCTTTAGAGTGTGTTTGGTAGTATTAGTAAAGTTAAACATAAATCTATTTTTAATTCCCTGCTAGATCTATGGATGGAAGAAAAATGCGTATATCCACAAGAAGCCTTGCATAAAAATATCTACAGCAATTATATTTGTAAAAGCCAAATAACCAAATAAAACCCTACAATTGCAAACAACTAACCCAAATACCTGCCAACAACAGAATGATAACCAGACTGCGGAGTACTGTATTTATAAAATTGTAATACAACACAGTAATCTACAAAGTACATGTGGGCTGAAGAGATGGCTCATGCTTCAAAGCCCAATGACCTCGGTGCAGTCCTCAGTGTCCATGCAGTGAAAGGAAAGAAATGACTTGTGTGCAGGTTTTCCTCTAGCCTGCACATGCATGCTGTGGCATGTGTACCTATGTGCATGCATGCACCAAAATGAACCGAATATAAAAACCCACACTAATGATAGTTCAGCACAGTTTTTGAGAGTGTGTGAAACAAAGCTAAACAAGCTAGGGCCATATCAGTTACACAGCACTTGGGTTGAATATGTACAACTCTGGATTTAATCCTCAAAAAATAAAATAAGAAAAAATAAGGACCTGGTGCCAAAGAAACCACACACACACACACACACACACACACACACACACACACAGAGAGAGAGAGAGAGAGAGAGAAAGAGAGAAAGAGAGAAAGACGGAGGGAGGGAGGGAGAGAGAGAGAGAGAGAGAGAGAGAGAGAGAGAGAGAGAACGAACATGTACTCACTCAGTTTTTAATTACATTCTCTTGGGAGACATTTGGGGTGTGAAATCTACCCACAGTGAGAAAAGTTTGAATGACAAGGGCAATGGTGCAGTTTTTACCCAAAGACTGTCTCTCTGAAAGCAACTGGCCAAGCAAAAAACAGTTTGTCCTGGCTGAAAGGGAACAAAAATTTCTGGGGTAACAAAACACGAAAAGTATTTCAACGTTCAAGAACACTTTGTTTATTTGTGTGCTATTAATGAAATACCTTAAACACACGGAGCTTAACAAAATCATATTTGGAAGCATTTGTGGAAAGCAGTCCCACATGAATGGCAAGGAGGTCTACAGGGAGCCCAGGCAGGAGAACACTTTGTACCTAGCGCTCAGCTAAGTCATTTACTCTCAGGAATTGCTCTGAACTGTCAGGAACACAAAACAAGGCTCACTGACCATGATGACTGAGAAATTGGTGCCAGTAAGTGTCTTATTCATTCTCTGTGACCAGTTCTGCCAGTAAAGGGAGCCCCTGCCAAGGGTCACACAGCTCCATCAATCCACAAAGGTTGCTAACAGCAAATAAAAGAGATGAGGAAGGAAAAGGCAGGCCCTGCTTTGAAGCACTTGGAAGAAAGAGTCTTTGAACGGCTGCAAACACCACAAACCCTTTCACCCAAATCAGAGAGAGCAGCCAGGGGAGTCGGCAGAAGAAGCCAGAAGTGGGGAGATGTTACCCCATTTGGGTTCCATTCCCACTGAAGCTTTGTACAGGGAATTCAGGGCAGGGCAGACGTGACAAAAGCTCAACGAGTTGGCCTCGCCACAGCCAACTTTCAAAGAGTGTCAGAGGTAAGACCTTCTCTCTCCCACGCTCTGCACCTCCTACCTTTGCTCAGTCTACTATGCTGTTCTACTCCTACTCTACTATGGGTGGTATCGTGTGGATATACCCATGGAGCCACTACCATTAACGGAGCACAAACCTATTCTATGACCCATGCTGTGACTTTATAGTCACAATGTCCCCCAATTCTAACCCCTAGCAGCCCCTAACTTGCTCTCCATCACTTTGATTTTGTCAATTTGAAAATGTTATATGAATGAAACCATAGAGTATGTAACCTTTGGAGACTAGGTTCTTTCTCCCAGAATAATACCTTTGAGATCCTTCCAAGTTGCTGTGTATATCAATAATTCAATTTTTTATTGTGAAAACTATTCCATTGTCTGCCTATATTTTGAATAGTAAAAAAGTCTTAGGCATGCAAGATAATTCAACCCAAGAATATTCTGTAAAATGATGTATACAGACAAGTAATTTTATTGACAGCTCCACAGCCAGGCTAATATTTTAAAAAGAATTCCAAAACTAAATTCTGCAGCAAGGCATTTTCTTTCTTTTTCACAATGCTTAATGTGAACCAGGCTCACTGGTTAAAGCTTTCTTTTATCAGCTATTGTGCTGCCGAACAAGCGATTGTCTGTTTGCTATGAATCTATTCTCCTGTATTCTGCTCTATGATGCAAACGGTTCTGTCTTGTTAGCTGCTTCCCATTAGGTCATGCCAATATGCTACCAGAAAAGGAAGAGGAGACTTTCTACTCCCTCAAACACACTGTTCTTGTAGTGTCATCCTGGCAATGATCCCTCACCCTAGGCTGGCAGTTGGTTTCAGCTATCATCAGTAGCTGTGTCTACATGCCTGGCACTATGCTAATTTCCTTCAATACAAACACTACATAAGAATAGCAAGTACAATAACAGTCACCAGCAATTCGCAGTAAGTCTCCGAGATTCATCTAATTTCCGAGGCCAAAGAGGTGAGTTAGATGGGAGGGGTAATAGGCATCGCTGCTCCTGCAATGCTATATTAGACTAATACCATGCTCTTCTCTTCATGTTTATTACCTTTTTATTACTGTGACAAAATTAACTCAGCAAAACAATGTAAAGGATGAAAGGTTTCTTTTTTTTTTTAAATCTGGCTCATAGTTTCATCCCTGGTGGGCTTGGCATGGCAGAGTAGAATGCTCAGCTTATATCATGACAGACAGGAGGGAGAGATGCATGAATAGGAATAGGAATATGCCCCTCCCATTTATTTCATCTTAGCTTGGTTGGTGATGGAGCACTAGAGCTCAGAAATCCCGAGTGAAGCTGGAATGATTCTGAGTAGTGGGGCCTGCCTTGAAGATACTAATGTATCAGGAGCTCAAAAGGACTAAACAGAACTGGTGGGCCTCTGAGAGAGTGTCACAAAAGTGACTGGACTTGCCTGCTATCTCCAAGGAGGTGGGGAGACTGGCCATGGGAAGTACAGAGACAGATGACAGATGCGACCAATTGCCAGTCTGGGATGAGGGGCCATAGCAGGGAAGGTATAACAGTAGGCTCATGGTTTTGGACACTTGGTCCCAGTTGGTGGTGTTGTTTGCAGAGGTGGAGCTTTGTTGGAGGAAGCACATGGTTGGGATGGGCTTTGGGAGTGTGTAGGCTCGCCCCACATCCTGTTCTCTTTTTGCTTTCTCTGAGTGAATGAAAATGTGATCCGTTTCCTGCTCCTGTCATCCATCATGCTTTCCTTGATTGTTGTTATATCTTCCCTGCCATTATGGATGCCATCTCTCTGGAGCCATAAGACAAAATAAACCCTTTCTTCTTGAAACTGCTTTTGGTCATAGTATTTTATCACAGCAACAGAAAGTGACTAACAAAATACTTGTCATGTTCTCCATCATCTTGACCCATTTGGCTTGATAGAACTGTAGAATGACCTTTAAAAATACAGTTACATTGCCAACTAGGTAGCAGTAGCCTGGATGGTTGGACCAGGGTTCTGCAGAAGGCTGCCCATGCTTTAAATCAGTATCTAGTGTATAGTACGGTCTCTCCCATAGCCCCAATTTACAGATCTAGGAATAAAAGGGTTGATATGAGAATGGTTTTATTTACTATCACTCCTAGTTACCCACTAGGAACATTTTGCTTCCTATTCCTGGGACCTTGAGTTCCACTGGCTTCACAGTTTTGATTCCAGAAAGGAAAGTGATTCTACAAAGAGACACAACAAAAATTCCCTCCATTTCACCGAATAATACTTTCCACTTTGGGCTTCGGATGCCCTTAATTCAACAAGCTAAGAAAGGAATAACAATGTTAGGAGGGAGGGTGATTGATCCAGACTTCCAGGTGAAAATTTGATTGCTTCTCCACAGTGGAGGTAGGGAAGATTATGTCTGGAGTTTATAACATCCTTATGATGTCTCTTGGTGTTAACCAAGTCCTATGATTAAAGTCAATGGGAAACCACAATCTAATCCAGGCAGGATACCAAATGACTCAGACCCTTCAGAGAGGAATGTGTGGGTTCTCTAGGAAAAGAACCAAAACCTGCTAAGGTATTTTGCTTAAGGTAGAGGAAATATAGAATGGGTAGTAGAGATAGGTAGTCATAAATACCAGGTAAGGCCATGTGACCAGTTTCAGAAACAAAGATTTTAATGACATGAGCATTTCCACCCTATTTTGTTAAGAACATGTTTGTGCATATAGATAGATATATTAAGAAGATATCTGTGTTATATGCTGAAGCTCCAGGAAGACTATGCTGCTTCAATTGTACAGGGATGTTTTGGAGACAGTGCAGGTCATAACTTGGTGTTGCTCTGTTCAGCAGCAAATAGCCTAGAATATCATTATGTTCTGATGCTTTAAGGTTTCGCTATAATCTATCACTTATGGCACATATTTCTGGTCTCTTGTATAATACAAACAAGTACAGTAGGCAGTGAAAGTCAGAGGACATCCCTTCAAAGCAAAGATACAGAGCAAACTAGTTCTGAAATGAGGCTGGTGGCCAAGAGACCTAAAAACATGAAATTAAAGCCAAGCTGGTCTCTCCTACAATGTTTTGTTTCAATAAAAGAATGAAAAATACATCTGCCTTAACTAAATTGACAAAGATTCCATTTCAATGGGATATAGCAAAAAATAGGTAGATAAACACATACATGAATATGCTCATGTATGCATGTTTCCCTGATAAAGTCATAAAAATAAAAGATTAAAAATAAGGGTAGGGTAGTTATTTATTCTTTCTTTCTTCTATTTTGTTGGCATATAATGCAACACCAATTGAGATAATATCAGTGGTTAAGTGTTGTAAATCTATAATATATTAGGTTAAGAACTACTGCTTGAAATAATCCAGTTTTCGCATTCATATCCCCTTTCTCACTTGGGATATCATCCATGATCATCCATTGCACTTAGTTTTCAAACTTCTTTTATCTTCTTCAATTTTAGAAGTTCTTTAGTCTTTGTCCCAGGCCTCCATGCTACTATTAAGTGAAACACTTGTGGGGATCAAGAAAGATATCTGCAGTCACATTTTCTGTCTCTGCAGTTGTGCCATCGCCAGCCTGGACAGAGAGGAGACTAGGACTCTTAGCTGGCAAGATGTTCTGTAAATTCCAGAACTTGGCCTTAACTCACTGATCAGAGTCCTCTCTCCAGATGTGGAAGACCAGGTGAATTTCTTTGGATTCATTAGAATTTTGACTGATGTATGGACCATTGATGATGGCACAAAGAATAAAGATGCTAATGGGTCAGAAACATTCAACAGGGTAATCAACATTCTCCATTTTGTATTGCAAAAATGATCTAAATAGAGATGCCATGATAGCCATTAGTGAGCTATTTCAGGTGTTACACATGTTGAGATGAGAAATTGGGCATCACTGCAAACTGGATCATCCAAACGGCTGATTGGACAGACAGTTCCATAACTACAGAATTTGTTAGGGTTTTGGAAAAGGTAGACCCAGAGCAGAATCTGATCATCTAATTTATTTTGTTAAGATTTTATTTTTCTTTTTAAATTTTATGTTTATGTGCACATGAGTTTGTTCATGTGAGTGCAGTGCACAGTAGACAAGAGTGCAGAATCCCCTTGAGCTAGTGTTAAAAGTGGCTGTGGGCACTGAATGTGCTGGGTGCTAGGAAACAAACCCAGAAGAACAGCAAGTGCCCTTATCTGCCGATTCCATCTCTCCAACCCCTGAACATCTACTTTCTTGACCAAAAGATTGAAACTAAATTGTTCTTTGGGAGTAATACTTAAGAAACAGAGCATGAGAGTTGTCTTGTCCGGCCATTAGTCCCCTTCTCTTCTTGCTATTGCTGCCCCATATTGGCTCCAGATATGCTCTGGGAACACAAAGTCACTTTTAGTGTAAATAGGGCACATGGAATGATGCTCCTGGTCTGTTTTCTCTTTAGTATCAGTTTACTGGCTCTTTATTTACAAATGCTATCTGACCTATTCTGCTGATAAATGTCACATATCTACATGATCTGGGCAAATGGGAGAGGGAATCCTTCCAGGATCCATCCAGCTAAGGTCCTTCACTAAATATATATTATAAACATGATGCCTTCCCTGTAGTGATCAGCACCTCCTTCAGCCTTTTCCATACATCTTTTGCTTCCTGTTTCTCCACCATCTCCACCCTTCACCTTGGTCATTTAGTCTCCTGGATTCTTAATAATCCTTAAAAAAACAAAACAAAACAAACAAAAAACCCTCTATTCTATGTGGCACTCCCAAGCTATATCTGCTAAATATATTTCTAACTTGGCAAAATTCTTCTGTAGTCTACAAGTTTTTATTTACCTTCGCTCATGTACAAGTCTCTATGATATTGTCTCTCCAGAAGCTTTTGAGAAACCTAACTTCCCTGGGGAAAAAATGTGACCGTGTTTTGGTTCTCTTCCCTCTCTCTGCCATCAAAGGACTGGTTTTGGGAGATGTTGTGCTTGACAAATGAGAGGTACAGAGCCAAAT